GAGTTCAATAAGCTGGATTACTGAACATTTACGGAACCCAGAATAAATAATGTCTTTAGACCGTGTTTTCATGACCWAGGTTCCCTAGAGGAGAGATAAACTCTTTYATTTAAACWTTCCAGAGAAAACAAGCGTTTGTCTCTACTAGGGCCTYAACGATGTCTCTTTACGGAGATTTGTACGACAGATTAAAACGTATTAGCGTCTTGATTTAAAGATATAAACATTCAACTTCAATATTTACACAAGAGTTGTTTTCCACTCGTTATGCAAATTACTTGTCACGCATGCTGTCACTCTTCGTGACATACTTATTTCTACACAGATATAATGAAATTTATAAAGTACTTAGAAATGAGATGCAGAGGCCCATATATCATGACCTCATCACTCTTCCATCTCAGAAATTAGGAGTACAGTCAACYCTCTCGTAAGCGACCACCTCGGGATCAGGAAAAAGTGGTCGCTTACGAGAAAGTTTTTTTTACAGAGTTTATATGGGAAACTGGACAAAACGGCAAATTTAAAAGGTGTTCGCTGAATTTAATGCAGCCAGCAATCATGACTACATAAAAACTATTTTTTTCAATTGGTGTATATACACAAATCGCGAAATAAAGTAAGAACTCTTTTTAAGAAAGTAAAAAATAAAATAAAAAAGCAAAATGAACAACAAAAACATCACAATTTAAGATAAATAAATACAAAGTATGCAAAGAAAAAAAAATAGGGAACTTTATTATTGATCCAAGAAATATATGTATCAATCATAAAAATATACACTATTTAAAATAGAATATTATATATATCATATATCGAGTGTACTTGCGATCGTCTTATCGAAGTGAAAACTATAATWGCAGTAGTCAATCAAATAGGCACAAAATGACGCATACGATACTCCCATTGTCGAATTATAAGCGAAAAAACCGTTTCTTTAAATGACTGCAGATTTTCTTGCGGAAAGATTGCAGTTTCCCCGAGTTGAAACTAACCCTGTACCCCCCCATAAAACCCAAGGTTCAAAACTTCTGGGAATACTGTAGTGGTAGTCTCAACTTGAGGAAAATGCAAATTGCTAGCGCTATTGTACTTACAACATTTTCTCGTGCTTTTTTTCTCAACATTTTCGTCTTTGGTAAGGTCTTTGCGCAAGAGGTTCTGCTGTCAAATAGAACAGCGATTACTCGCTTTGAATTCAAAAATGAGTATTTGTGAGTAGTATAACCCCCCTTATTGTCGCCACATTAACTATGACTCTATCGATGAGGTTGTCTGAACAAGAACAAACCTATAATATCTTTACATTAAATATATATATCATGAATTCTACGCAGGCGCCAAAACAGACATGCTTGATCCTTTGATTCGCCGTAAAGTACCGTCCAGCGAAAAAACTTATTTGTTTGTGGTATTGTATAGAGCATCAATCATGTTTGATGGTGCTTAATGTTGTTGTTGTATGAGACATCACACATCTTGTATGCAGTTTGATGTATTTTGTTTGATGGTAATGGATGTCGTTGGATAAAGTTTGATGGTGTTAGGTCACCTTGTTTGGAGGTGTTGGATGTTGTTGAATGGAGCAACAAACATGTTGATGCAGTTTAAAGGTGTTTCTTCTCACTTTTAAATGGATGGGTTTTTTTTATGGTTGGACGAAGCATCAAAAATCAGGTGGATTTTGTCCGCGAAGCATTCAATGCCTGAAGATGTTTGATGATTAGATAACGTTAGATCGTCAATCACGCTTAGGGGTYAGACACTGCTGCATTKGCCGCGGCTGCAGTTAACAGGAACAATGCTTTGTTTTCAAGAAATTCAAAAACCTCCGCCCTATATCATGAACAATTTTAATTAACAGTTATATCCTTAGACCCTGTTTACATGAGTTAGGAAGTCCCTAGTGGTCGGGCCAAAATGCTTTGTTTTTAAATACTCCAGGGAAAAGAAAACATAAGAGCAAACCCTACCACGTATTGGCATCCTATCTCATGTAAACAGAGTCTTAGAATAATACTATAATTATCTGTAACCGTAACACAAGAATCTATAGAGATAGGAATTTCCTGGAATTATGATTTCTCGGCCACAACTTCACAGATCGATGARAAAGGCCCCGTGTGACCATTCTTGTCAACTGCACGAACGATGATATAACTTTTCAGTCCTTCGCGAAGATTTGTGAGTGTGATAGCCATTGGAGGCGGTAAAGATTTTATGACACCCAAGGGTGTCCAYGTCTTAGTCGACACTATATCCTGAGTGATTATCTCATTTCTCTCTAATTGAATTGCGTAGATTTGGTACGAGGCGATCATTTCCAGGCAGGTGGTGTYTCGAATGTCCCACATTAAGACAGTGGTGTCTGGAAACGATGAAATTGTGACCTCCGGTTTTGGYAAATGCGCAGCACTCTTACTCTTCATTGAACTYACTGGTAAGGTTGGGWTCGGGTTCGAGACTGGCAAATTGATATGTTCAGTTCCCGACGGTGTGGTGAAATATCTATTATCAGGTASCGCTGACTGTAATATCGCAGGAGCTGCATTTCCAKGATGCGCAAGTGMATTCATATTGGGCATGCTCGTTACGCCTGAATTTAAGTTCTTGGGCCCAATATTCCCAAAGCTCTGCATGCTATTCTGATGATTTGAATTTGGAATGAGAATATTTCCATAAGGTCCTTGGTTAGCATATGTCTGCGATGTGTTCGCTACTTGTTGAGGAGCATTGGACTCTCCAAGTCTTAAATCAGAAGGACTTGCAGATAGATTACTTGAGCTACCCGCAAACGTTGCTGGCTCAATATTTTCTGTTGCTCCGAAAGATTTTTCACTTTCTTCATTTACAACCGGTGAAAGCATTGAACCTGTATGTGACAAAGCGCATGTACTTGAATTCGAGTCCGCTGCAAACTTAGMCAAGCTACCGACTTTCTCAGCGACTTCTGTCTTAATGACCATGGGATCAATACTTGTATTTCTACCRACGTTGGAAGATGTTTCATCGCGTGAGATGCGAACAAAGGAAGATCCATTTACAGTAGGAATACTAGTACCAGAAACTGGATARCTCGAGGAAATCGCATTAACTTGAGGTGTGCTAGTTTCAACTTCAGATGGAGTGTTTGCAGCCAAGCCAAGATCAGACATAGATGCTTGTGAAATAGCAGTGGCATCATTCTTGTAAACATCTGRAAAACCCGAAGCTGGATTTAAATGAGAAGCTCCAGGAATTTGAGCCCCATCAYTTGTGTTCAAACTCACTGAAGTACTAAAGYTSACAGGAAGCTCGCTTGTCTTTKCCAACTCAGCTGTTTCCATAGGCTCAACGTTGTTAACCTTATCTTCCAAAAYTTGCGTCTCAGAAGAGAGTGTTGTATCACCCTTGGCTACCGAAACTTCAAGAGACGATTCAGTTTTAACTTTATTCTGTACTACGTTCACTATTTCACAAAGAGAAAGATCGCTTGAAGAGCTTTCCTGTGGGCTTGTTTTCACTTCCACTGTTGAATCAGTAGACCCATCGATGTCACTGTCTTCAGAGGTGAGATCTACTACTTCATCTGAGAAATCACTAGGTGGAATGCTCTTTCTGAAGATGTCCATCAGCTCTTTGAACTCGATGGTTTTCCGCAACTCCTTCGGTGCTGTAGTACGMAGCTTTAGGAGGTCTGACAAATCAATGGAGAGCTCAGCTCGAATCTTCCGAAGGAGTTCTTTTAAGACAACGTTGAATCGTTTCTGCTCGTCTCTATTATTTTCTTGGAGTTTTTTCATGAAACGAACGTGTAATGGGATTGCACCAGACTTAAGTGATTCCAGAATTGTCCTACTTTGACTCACAGGTATTTCTTGTTTTGWTGAACTAGGCGTTTGATGAGCATATCGAGAAGGAGATTTTYTGGTTATTAACGAGTCTGCATTTCGGTAAGATTTTTCTTTCTGAGAAGTGCTCTGGCCTGCACCTACTGATTCTYTATTGCTATTCAAAATGGTACTAGGTTTRTYTGTCTTATCAACGGTCTTTTTGTTTACAGAAGCTCGCATGATATKRTTCCCAGAAGTTGAAATTTCATTAGTGTTAYTTGAATTGGAGTTATCAGATTTTTTCCCAAATGAACCTTTTGCCGCAGTCTCCTGAGATGCTGTTGTGGGACTCTCCGCAAGAGGTAAACATTCGTTTGTGGGGGAGAACGTTTTCTTAGATGAAGACAGCGTCTCACTGTTAGAAGAAACTCCAGAAMCGTCGACATGGTCTTGCAGCTGACTTTTCATTGATAAGGAATCCTCAAAGATCTCATGGGAAACTTTATCATCTTTTACAGGGTTAACTTTCAGTTGATCGTCACTTGTCACCTTGCTCTCGCCTTCAGTTGCGATTTCACAGMTTTTCGGCTCTTGTGGAGGATCCTTTGCAGATTCATCAGTAGGAATAGATGAAACAGTTTGATCAATTACTGGACTTAYTTTGGGTTGATCTCCTCCATCCTGAACTAGCACTTGTGTCGACACTTTATCTTTTCCAMTTTCCTCCAAYTGTGGCACATCTGAAGGATTGCTTTCTGATAAATTGGAAGAAAMGTGTTCTGATTGAGCACTGCGATCAGTGTGACTGAGTTCAGGTTGTTCTGCTTCTTCCAGAAGTACCATTTGCGATGGCATTTCATTGCTTCCACTTCCTTTTTCATAAGTATCCGATTGTCGCTCTTTTGAAGGATTGATTTCGGGTTGACTGACCTCTTCCAACACCGTTACTTCAGATGGCACACTATCCGTCTTATCGGGGCTTTGAAATGCCTTCTTCTGCTGGCTTCCATCATCGAGAGTACTTTTCGGGGATGAGTTAGTCGGCGTTGTACCCTTTTCAAAATTGTCGCTACTTGAAGACACYAATCGAGTAGTATTCGGAACACGTTTCTGCAATATTTCACTACTGTTTTGAACAGAATTCATCACTGTTGACATTTGAGTGTCCTTTTCAACACTGACGCTGCTTGAGACATCTTTAGATGGAGTAAACGACGGAATTCTTGTTGAGCTATCATGTGTTTGCAGGGAGCTAGAAGTGCCTAAGCTGTTTGGAAGAGAATCAGTCACAGTAGTGCTTGAAGAGCCCTGTTCTGAATTAGATCCACTCGAAATCTTTTCTGCGYGAGTATWATTGACAGTGTTTGGCCGAGAGTACAGATTAGTATTCGTCACAGGAATMGTTGATGAYTTTCCCATTTGACTGACTATATTCATGGACGATAAAAGTGAAAGTCCTCCCAACAATTTTTTGAATGCTTCGCTTTCTTTCACCACAGGCCCAACAGCTTCAGTCATGGCAGTGACTTCAGCATTAGTGATGGGCGATTTTGATTTGATTTTTTTTAGGAGTGACATAAGAAGCCTCTTAACATCTTCAATTCTAGACGGTTCACAATGAGTCAGAACAGTAAGAAGCGCTCCTAAATTTGATTGCAAGGAAGTTTGTAGTTCTTTTCTTGAATTTGGAGGCTGCTGACAACCTGATCCTGTAAYTGCAGAACTTTCCATATTGTTATCTTCCTTTGAAGACACATTAGTCTCGACTTCMMTTCCTGACTTTGGTAGCGGTGTGTTGGTAGACATTTTCTCGTTTGAAATCAGCAAAGAAGASCTGCGGTCCTTTTCAATTTCATTCGGGGGTTTAGCAATTTCTTTGGCTGCCTKTGAYGAACAAGTCGTTGATGCATCTAGGTCCCWTGAGGTGGACAAAACAAAACTTTGACCAGGAAGGGGTGGTACATCTTGCGAGACAGTATCTGGTGAATTATGGGGACTTGTGTCACTCCTACTGCGTTTACTGCTTAGGTCCTGTTGAATCGATAATATTGGACGTTTGGGAATAGCATCAAGTGAGCCAGTACTCGATGTTTTGGTATTACTCTGTTCTTTGTACTTATCTTTTGACATGGACAGTGAACCTGGCCATTGCGATGTATGTGCTGCAAAACTTCTGTTGRCCATAGATGGTACTTTYTGAGAWGACTGAGGTGTTTTGCTTGTTTTAAGTGAACCTTTCTGAGATGGTGTTTTTGAAATAGAACCAGTAGAGGTTGGTGGACGTTTTAATAGGTTTTTAATACTTGATTGGGATTGCGAGGAGGCACTTTGGATATCAGGAACTGTATTTCTTTCACTACACGCCACTGAAAGAGCATCTGAGACAGCTATAGTGAACAGAGGCGTCTCTTTGTCTGGTCTCCCTGCAACTTTTAGAGACKGCTCGGTTGGGACAGAAGCAGCGGTTAGTTTTTGAAATGAAGTACTCTGAGAAGTAGGCATCGTATTGGACACTTCTTTTCTGTTACTAATGTTTGATTTATTGGGAAGTTCTTTTCTACTGTATTGAGAACCATTGGACGTTGAGTTACCATTAGTACTCTTAACTACGTTTGAAGTCGGTGTTGGTGCGTTACAAGTTGGCTGTGGTGTTACTACATTAACAGGTCTTGCGTTTGTTTGTTGTGAGAATCCACTCACTACCTGTGCGGYTTCGGAACTTGTAACGGAAGTGTACTCAGGATGCGAACTCCAATTKGCTTGCTGMATTGTRTATGGTTGATGAAAGACTGATTGGGGAGCACCACTAGCGAGTTGTGATGGTTCTGAGATACGAGGTCCTGTGGGAGGGTACCACGTAACCTGGTTTCCAAGCTGTTGAGGCGCAGCTCCAAGTGAAAGCGGTCGCCAAAAGCGATTCGGCATACGATTTAACAATGCGTGAGTAGAGTTGCTCAAAGATGCTGTTGTTGATGCTGGCGCTTGTATAGGTACGCTGCTCCCTCTGGGTAAAGAATTCTGGTACCAAAACCCACTTGCCCCATGAGTAGCAGGTGTAGAGTTCCTCATAGTGCTTTGCCCTAATGTTCCTTTGTCTGCAGTATAGGACTGATTAAACTTGTTAAAGCTTCCAGTAAATCCAGGAGCTTCACGTGTGTTCTGAACAACTGCTCCTCCTTGTCCGGTTCCCATGGGTACCGGCGGACGATTTGGAGCTGGTCCTGAATTGCTAAAAAAAGCGGACTGACCTCCATGTGCAGATGGAGGTAGTCTGCTTTGAGTTATTGATGTACTTCCATTGCTTAAATATGTGGAATTATCTCCAAATGCTGCTGAAGGTACATTCATTTGAGCAAAAGCTGTATTTAGGTGTGAATAAGCCTGATACGCTTGATGGGCCGATTGTAAGGCAAGGTTCTGAGGAGACTGATTTAAAATTGGGTTCATCGGCTGGTATTGCGGAAAGGCTGCAGGTTGATACTGGTTTCTATATGAATTTGTTGTGTTGAACAGGGTCGGTGTGGTTGTAAGCGGCATCGAACTATTGAACCTATTTGCCATGGTTGCCAGTTCCGATAAAGAATTCGATGCATATTGACCCGAATATTGTCTTGCTGTCGCAGTCTGTACAGGCAAGGGACTTGCTGACGTAAGAACAATGCTCGTTCCAGGAACTGCCAAAGGCTGACTGTCTTGAATTGGCACTTCCTTTGCTGCCATAAGATTGTTTGGATTTCTTGAAGTAGACGAGGRAGGGCAATGAGAAGGTTCATCAAAATTTGACCCCTGATTGAAACTTGAACTGGAATCGTACCTACTAAAATGGGACAATTTYTTGGTCTGGTTTGTGCTTAGCACAGGATTTGAAATTGGAGTTGAAGACGTGGCTTCTATTCCACAAGAACGATCTAATTCGGAAGAATTTGAAACRATATCACTCCCAAAAGATGATCTCTCTGCTGCCGTTTCAAGTGGATTCTCAGAATTGAATGAAGTAGCCAAACAGTTTTGGATGAAAACTTCCGTGGATTTTTCTACTGTCACTATTTTAGTGATAATATCCATCTGGCTTTGTGTGTCATTGGGGGTCTGAAAGAAAATAGCACAAGTTATTACTAGGAAACTTCCCATCATACAAGCTTTGGCATACATTGATTTAACGACTTCCTTTAAATTATTAATGGAGGTAYGTGAACCTACTTGCGAAATCGTTGTCATAGAGAAAATATGACATTTGTATTTAGTAAAAAGTAATAAATCAAAAAGACAAAAGAAGATCACTGAGGCTGAACGCTCTCTTTTGTCTTGTTTGAATTTATTCCTTTTTACTAAATTCAAATGTTCTATTTTTTATGACAACGTTTCTGCAAGTAGGTGTATATACAACATTTGATTGGTTAAATTTATTATCAGAAGGAAATTCTCTAAACTATAACAATAAATTCTCTAAATTCTCTAATTCTCTAAACTACAACAATAAATCACGTCATGATTCGAATAATACAGTTTTCATGAACRCTTCGGAACGTTCGTTTTGATTGACTTATTAGTACAGAACTTCCATTGTTATTCTAGGTTTTGGTTCATCGTTTGAAAGAGCATTATTTGTCCGTTGTTTTCTAAACAAATCACAAGATTCGTTTCAAACGGTTTGAAAGACCTGAATAATATGCTACGAGAAGCTTGCTTATGTTATTATGCACCATAAATAAATTATTCGTTTTTAAGTTACATCACAGCGGCCATCTTGGAGGAACTTCGACAAAGGATTTCTCATTAGTATCTATAGTTTATTCCTCCAACATTACCACCGGTCTTTTATCGTTTGSATCWCATGGGAATGATTGAAAACGATTAATTCTAATAATAATAGCATGTATAGAAGGGTGACTTTCATTAGTCCATGAAACAAAGTGTAAGCRAAAGTGCAATGTGTAATACACCAATAACATACAGAAAAACGTACAAAATGAAGAGTATTTCACGAGTTAATAAAAACCACTCCAAAGAGGCATTATATTTGCACTATTCAAAGATTGAGTGCTTTAAAKCAGAAAACGTTCCATCTCGACTTCAATGTTCAAAAGAAAYCGTTAGAAGTTTKWTTTTTCTGCGWCTTTGGGSCAGAGCTTGCTGCAAATGAGCCAATGACTGAACGAGTTTACATAAAGCTCCGCCCCTTAGATTGAAGGAAAGAACAAAATCAAAACAAACTTCGAAACGAAGAAGTCGCAATGCAATGATTTTCGCTGTAATTGCAGACCCTTGTCAGYTAAACTAAAACGGAAAATCAACCCAAGATAGACTAAGACACAGACGGCCATTACTGGCATTATCATATTACGATATTTAGAAGTAGTTAACCACATGCTTCAAGTACACRTACCTCTGATAAATCAGTTTCGTTTCTACTTGTAACCGTTGTCGAAGAGGGTTCTGCRCTTGAATGACTCTTTGAAGTATCAGTAGTASTAGSAGGGGKAGTCGCAACTGTAGTCGTAGCAGAAGMTGTAATATCAGCCACARCATCAKTATTTTCAGAATCTTGCTTGGACAAAAGGGCAGCGTCCTCAARACTTTGCCACGGCTTTGGAGAAAACACCATCAAAGACCTCTCACACTGTTCAACACTTTCTGTGAATTCGTTGTCATTAATAAGCTCAGATACACCACTCGTATCTATATTATCTTTCAAAAATAGAGTTGATAACGGGTCTTCGGCAAGTGATGCTTSAGCAATGCTGACATCGTCGATCATTAGTGGTGGTGTCTCTTCYTCGACGTTRAATTCAGGTGGAAAYTGAAAYGAGCTGACTTGTTCAACTTGTATAGGAGGGGTCGTACTGCGATTGAAAACGTTTTCACCGCCTTCCTCTATTGGGTATTCTGTTATTGATGGGACGCCGCTGAAAAGTTCCTAATGAGGGGAAATTGTACAAAGTGATTAAAAATAATGAGCCGTAAGGGTCTGTTCACACTGTGTCATAAGCAGAAACAGAAGAAGTGTACTTTTTGTATGTGTGAACCGGGAAAACAGAAGCAGAGACACAAGCAGATGAAAATGAAAACTTTTTCGTTTTTTTTTTCTGCTTCTGTTTCTGCTTATGCTGAAAGACTATCAGTGTGAACCGGGGACACCATAAGCAGAAGAACATGCTTCTGCTTCGGTCTCTGCTTATGTCATAGGGTGAAACGGCCCTAACCCCTGCAATAAAAGCTAAGTGACTGTGTTGACATCTCAGTGTATTGGCTACAGAAGAGACTTGTAGACTTGCAGACAATCGCGCAAGTGGAAAACTTTCAAAACCCTGTTTTTCCTCTTTCATAAAAATACTTTAATCAGACTGAGACTTTCCTCATGTTCCAAGGATGTCTGCTTACGGGACATTCAACTGTATTATTATTAACACATTTGAAAGTTAACACAGTTGAACCTTGTTTATCGGCCTACCGAAGGGCCATCGAAAAATGGCCGTACTAACGTGGTGGCGGTTATTACAAGGTAGAAAAGTATGAGTGTATAATTCACCTGGAGATAAAGTTATGGTAATTTAAATGGTTTGGCCGCATTTAGCGTGTGCCTGTGTGGCGGGGTTTCACTGTAYCAGAATGCGAATTGAAATTTAAGGATCAAATGTTAATACTGTTTAAAAATACATATGTTTGTGAGACTGAGAGATGTAGCCCTTGTGTTCAAGAATACCTTTTCTGGAGTCTTCAAGTACTTTGATTCAGGCATTATAACCATAACCTTTCTCCCCTTWAGGTATACTTCTTTCTTCTTAGGAGTAATGGTCCTATGAAGATACTGATTCACAACCTCATCAGGTAGCTTTTGTATGACAACTTTAAGCTCTTTCACAACAATAGGATCTGTTTTCTGTCTTTTAGCTGAGAAAATTAAAGTAGAAAATCAACATTAGGCATAAAAATGGCCTCCTTTCCTTATGACGTCATCCCATGGGATGCACCATGATATATATCAAATGACAATGTGGATGGGATCCAGGGGAAGGGATTTCACTTTTTATTCTCACTTTTTTATATMTTTTCATTGAAAAACTAACCTTCCGGTGCTGTTGGTCCTAAATCAGAATCACTTGAGTAAAGTCTATAAAGGAAAAATACAAAAACCTTAGAAATAAAGCCATCAAAAAGGACTTCAATTTCCATTCTTGTTGAATTGAAAAATATATATACTAGGCACTTCTAATCCTTGGTACATGTAGATTTCTCAAAATGTTTGTATTGTTTTAACAAAATAATTTAAATTCATCAATCTGGAGACGTTATCCTTAAGCAGCATGTTAGCAGAAGAGTAATAATATAGTAAATGCGGCTAAATACTGCTGTTAGATCGTTAGATGGTAAATACACTTTATATGAAGTTGAGCTTTCGCTGTTCTACAGCATCATCAGGCCTCTCAGGACTCAGCTAAGCTTGCTTAAGTTGGAATTATTGTTGCTTTTMAAAACTGGAGTCCTGATGAAGCTGTGGAGCAGCAAAATCTCGAATTCATAAAAAGTTTACTAAATACCATCTAACAGCAGTATCTGACSGCGTTTGCTATATCATTACTCAAATTCATCGCTTTTTGAATTGTTTGAAGTTTTCTAGTCTCCTCGCAGCCGTTCTTAGTGGCGGGTTCTTGTGGGGCGRGGGACAGGGAGCCCGCCACTAAGAACGGCTGCGAGGAGACTARAAGTTTTCATAAGGTTAATAAACTTCTTTTTCAATACCAGTACTTACTTTCTCTTTGTTTTGCAAGATTTACACCTTTTGCTATTTGGAACACCAAGACTTAGTAAATTCTCACAAAAGCCCACTGACTTTGAGAACTGTGCCAAGAGAGTCTTCAACTCCTTCCTTGAATGTGTGTGTGGAAATGACCGCC